GGCTTTTGCTCAAAATATCCTGAGGTGGCCCAGGCAATCTGCTGCAGTGTTCCTGCAGCCTTGTGTTGAAAAGTCAGGTGAGGATGTCAGAGGTGCATTATGCCTTCCCAGAGACTGGCTTTCCCTCTTCCCTTTTGCATCTCACTCTCTGGCATAGTTCAAGTTTGCTCAGATTGCTACAGCTTGCTAGATTTGAAAGTTTATTGTTCAGTGATCTATCTCTTGCTAAGAAAGAAATTACTCTTTTCCTGTGACCCCTTGATTCTTCCTTCCCTCTGTCTTGGGCAGCAGGGCTGCATTCTGGACACTTGTCTGGAAAAAATTCTGTCTGTGCTCCCAGGTACTCAAGCACATTGCAGACCTGTCAGGCTCTTACTAAATGATGCTTTACAAAACAAAACAAAACAAAAAAGAGTTCACAGAGGAAATATTAAAGCTTCAAAAGAAGGGGCATGAGCCAGTGGCAGGCATATGCCTCTCCTTGTTAAGTCCCCATACTAAATAAGAGCCAAAATTCTCATGCAGGCAGTGCTTGGCTGAAGGTGAAGTCTGGCCATGCAGAGCATCTGTGGCAGCATATGAAAAAATGTGATTTACCAAGCAGGAGAAATAGAAGACAAATTTCATGCCGCAGATAAGGACATACTGAAACAAAATACTGTCTGGGTGCAGAGATTAGAAGCTCTGAAAATCTGATATTATTAAAGGAAGATGTTGCATTTGGGAGTAATGATCTCATTGAAACATTAATAATGAAAAAAACAGTGGTTCTAATATATGGCAGGGAATACATCCATCCTCCTAATGATAACAAGACAGATGATTTTCCCAAAACTCATGCCACTTTTGGCTGTAACAGAGGAGGAACTGGGGATTGCTCCAGAGCATATGGACAAAGGATTTGCTCCAATGCACATCCTCTTGTGAATGTGCCACAGGCTATGATTAAGTGTCTAAAAGCATTTGTGAACAGAAAAATGATATGTGTCTGATGTGGCTGTGTCTTACTGCTTCTGCTTTGAAAAAGGATTTGCAAAGTAATCCCAGTGTTTCTAATGCTTCCCATTGTCTGCATACAGTACATCACTTACATTTCCATCTCTTTGGAGTCCTTGTTTGCTCAAAGGCAAATGTGTGTGTCTGTGGGGATTTCCTTCCTTGTGCTGAATGGCATTTTTCATGGTACAGCATAACACCTGGATTAATTTGAAAGCAGTCACAGAGAGACATTCTAGGGATCCCAAGCAGAAAGGTCTCTATACCTAGAACAAACTGGAAGGTGTGGTCCCTGGTCTGAGCTCACATCCCACCTGACAGGTCTTGTGCCTAGCACACAGTCCTAGATTTGAGAGCAAAGCCTAGCCACTACTACAGGGCTGGGAAGGAAAAGAGAGGAAAAACCGCAAATCAGCCAAATGAAACAGGAAAGCATTTTTAAACACTTTTAGGAGCAGCACCACAGAGGAAATATCAGTTCTGAACTAAACCTCTCTCTCTTTCTGGAACTCAGAGCAGAACAGCGTGGCTGCCAAGCTACCAGGCCTCTCTTGAAGGCACTGCCAGGCTTTGGATACCTCAAGCCCTCTCAGCAGCTCAATTTTCCCTGGGCAGTCTGATCCTCCAGCTACCCTGGTGCTGTGCTCCAAGCTCACTTCCATATTGTACAGACTAAGCTTACCTCTAATTCCTCTTTGGAAGCTGCTCTGCCTGTTTCCACTGTCCTCTCAAGTGTGAAGCCTCTCCAAATCCTACATCTGGCAAGGTATTGCTGCCTCTCCCCACCAAAGTTCATGAACTGTTCTTCATACTCTCCAGTCTTTTGGCATTTCCTATAGAAATTGGCTCCTCTGGGCCTTTTTTTGTCAGCATTTGTCTCTGTGCTTCTCACCTGCTGCTGAGTAGACACACACTGCAGGTTTAACAAGTCCTGAGAAGGCAAGGACTGACCAAATCCCCAGCTGTGCTGCTGAATGCTGGGCTTGAGGGTGAAACAGAATGGTTTGGGTTGAAAAGAACCTTACAGATCATCCAGTTACAACCCTTCTGCCATGGACAGGGACGATACCCACTGCATCTTGTTGTTCAGGGTTCCAACCAACCTGGCCCGGAGGATTTTCAGGGATAGGGCATGCTAGAAAGAAGCAGGAAGGGGCTTTTCAGCTTGCTGAGATTGCCATGGCAAGGGAAATCCCTTGCTGCTGTCATATCCAGCCCCCTGCTCTTCCTTAGGGTTTGCCACAAGTACAGGGCTGGGTTTCAGCCCTGCATGTATGAGGTTTTTCAGGTGGAGGGACTGAGAGAGGAGAGGCCACTCCTGGCTGGCCCAGGTTGGGGTAGTAATTGCCAAAGGCCATAGCAGGTGAAGTGTGGCACCTGGGAAAGGTGCCTGAGTATGAGGAGGTGTTTTTCCTCAACAGCATGCCTCGCAGCAAAGCCTGCCACAGCCTATGCTACAGACTCTGCTTTGCAGTACACAAGGAAAAGCAGCAGAAGTTGTGGTGAATCCATTCACAGCTGGGAAACACTGCTCTGTTTGCATTCAGTTAGCAAATGGTCAAGAAAAATTCTCTGAGAAAAGAAAGATTTCCTGCTTTATTCTTTCACTCTCCTTTGCCTGTGTCCCGGGGACTGAGAAGCCTATTGGATGTTGTTCAGGAGTATAAGCTACTCTTATCCTCAAAAAGTGACTTTTCACTATTATCTTTAGACCTGTACCTGCCAGAAACAAACCCAGAGACATCTCTCAGCACTGGTAAAAAAGTTCCTTTCACATCTCTAAGGCAGTGTGGATCCAGAAAATACTGCTTCAATAATGTAAAAAAAATTTGATCTCCAGAGTCTGGCACAAGCTATATATGTGCAAATAATCACAAACACAACCCACAGACATGAAGATGGAAGGGAAACACTTCTAAATATCTAAGCACAGGTTTTTGGGATTTTCCTCTGAGGCAATGAAAAGATAGTGAGAATTTTCCATCAGGCAGCCCAGAGGTTTTTTTTTTTCTCTTTGGAACTCCTTGCAGAATGCTACAAGAAGAAACACTTTATTGGAACAAAGTATGGCAGAGATATTTCACATGAAAAGGTCCATTGTAAAACTAACATTCCCCAGTTTGGAAGTGATAAGGAACTTTATGAGAGTCCTCACAAATGTGCTTCTGCCTTCCAGCTATCTTAAAAATACTGGTGTTGCACTACAGGCAGACTAAGGTGAATTCATAACCTAAAAGCTCAGGGAAGAAATTTGGATGCAAACCTGGGTTTTGTAATGACACTTCTTTATTGAACTGTACTGATAACAGTATAGACAATCTATCCCATAGCCCACGTCCATGGTTGGCTGCTGGAGCACTGACAGCAGCTGTTCTTATAGCCTGAGACTGTCTGAGAAGATGACTGTGCAAGGAAGCACAGGGCCAAGGGCAGAGCCCTGAGGGCCCAGAGCCCCCAGGCACAGTTCCAGGTGCTGGCACAGAGCAGTTACCTGGGACAAATCAGGCTCTGCCATCTGCCACAGAGAGCTGCAGAGCTGAGCTGGAGGGCAAGGGAGGAAGAGACCAGAAGGACTTTCTTCTGCAGGCCCCAGGGAACTCATATAAGCTGCAGAAACCATTAGAAGCCTTTTTTTTTCAGGTGTTTGAAAAGCAGACAAAGTATTTTTGAGGGTCACAGGAAAACCAAGAAAAAGCGTTGGAAGAAGCCCCTTGGAGTTACACTCCTCAGAAACAGCTCAAGGGGGATGATACATTCATTAGGGTCCTGGCCCCCTAGAAAGAGGATGACAGCACCCACTTGTCTCAGAACAAACATTTCAGGGAAGCTGCAGATTTAGGCCTGTGTTCTCTTGCAAAGATGTACTTGCTGCTCTCACCGCCATCCTTTACAGGGGAAATTCAGTTTCTACAGATATAATGATCCTTCTTTTGCTGAAAGGTCAGAACAGTTCCCAAGCACAGTGAGCTCTGCCAGCAAGATGAGTTGTCTGCTACCCGAGGTATGCCTGCATGCAGGCTTCTGTTATTAAAAAGGAAAAGCAAAGCCCTACAATGCTGTGATATGTCAGATATTTCAGGAACTGATCCCTTTGGATATGAGCACAGCAGCCTTGTTTAGAGCAAGGTTACAGCTGGGTTTGGGGTGGTATAATCGCTGTGCAAGAGGAGGCTCTGTATGAACCAAGGGCTGAGTGGCTGTGGCATTCGTGCCTCAGGTGCAGGAGCTGCATCACTTGTGCTAAACTAGGTTGCTCCTGATTGCCAACATGGGCCAAAATGCCTCCTCTCATATGCTTGGTCCTCTATTAGGATAGAAGTGTTTGAGAATGGTGCCCATATGATTCCCTGCCATATGGGATTAGCTACACTGGTATAAAATAGCTTTATACCAGGCTAATGTCTTCCATTCTACCTTTTAAAGTGGTTAAAGCAATCAACTTCCATGCACAGGCAAGACTTGACTTTCTTTCCATGCTTGGAAGGTTTTATTCACAGCTATGAAGGCCAGACATTTTATCTTTCTTTTTTTCCTTTGTTTAGTGAAAGTCTGAATCTCAGAGAAGAACCTCCGCTGCTATAGAACTGTTCTGTGCATGGAGATCTGAGAAACAGAAATATTTCATGTTATGGATTAGTTATGAATTATATAAGAGGAATCCTCCCCTCATTAAAACTGGTTTGTCTTGTCCCCACAGCTCCCAGTGGCTGGCAGTTGACTGTGCATGGTATTTTTTAATTTATGAGCTAATACCAGAAACTGCCTCTGAGCAAGATCTAACATTGGGCACAGCCTCAAGGCACATGAGGTTCTTCCACCCACTCCGATTTTCCCAGTGTAGCCATCACTCATCCATCCAGATCTGTAGCCAGAATTAAGACAGACACATATCTGGTTAGAATAACCCAGCTGAGGGCTAGACCTAGTGGAGGTATGACGCTGGCCAGCTGCAGCTGGTGAGGTTGTGGTATTTCTTGTCACTAACAATTGCTATGTCAGTTTGGATCAATTCTCTCCTCTTCCCTTCTGATTTTTGAGAATCTGCAATGTCCACATTGGCTGCCACATCTTTGCTCAGAAACCTCATCAGGCTGAAAGAATGAGGCAAGAAACAGTCTTTTTAGCTGACTAGACTTCAACTATATTTCTGCTTTTTTTGGAACAATAAAAATGAATTTTCTTCTGCTGGCCTTTCAGAGAGCTGGGCTGGCTGAAACCAGAGGGACATCTTGGATGAGGAAGGTTGGAAAGAGCACCACTGGAGATGCCAGCACAGGTGAGCATGGCAGAGGGAACATGGTTCTGTGTGGTGCATGGTGGGATTGAAATCACTAAATCACAGACTCACAGAATGGGAGAAGCTGGAAGGGAACATGGATGGATCATCTGGTCCAACTGCCCTGCTCAGGCAAGGTCATCCCAGGGCACATGGCACAGGATTGTGTCCAGATGGTTCTTGAATGGTTCCAGTGAGGGAGACCCCACACCCTCTCTGTGCAATCTGTTCCAGTGCTCAGAACAGCAAAGAACTTCTTCCTCATATTCATGTGAAATTTCCTGTGTATCAGTTTCTGCCCATTGCCTCTTGTCCTGTTGCTCCTAGAAGAGCCTGGCTCTCCCCCTCTTGGCATCCTCCCTTCCTGTACTTACATATAAATGGTGACAAGTAGGAGCAGCCAGCAATGGAAAGGGAAAGTCAGAGGAAGCAGCAAGAAGAAAATGTCCAACAGAGTTGGCTAGGGAAGGAGTGACCCCTGAGTGGGTGGCTCTGAGAAAGGCCAGTGGGATTGGTGAGGCATCTCTGTCCCACAGCCAGCCCTGGGATGGGTGGGGAAGCCTGGAAAGCCTCAGTTCTTTTAGTTAATTCACTGCTTGTCCTCTCCAGTGAGGGGCTGATGTGTTGGAGCCAAATCTTTGTCTGTGTGAAGGAGCCTTAGGAGCAGGACTGGGGAACATGCAGGCTGAAGGCAGCTCAGGTATTTTTGATCTGGTAACTTTCAAAGGCACCATCCTTATTGATTTGCTCTTTATTTGGTGAGAGGTTACACGGTGAGCCCAGGACACTGTGATGTGTGAATGTGTTCACAAGTTTGTGCCTTTTGAATGATTGTGGTTGCTTCCTGAAACAAAGCAGAATTCAGTGACAAATACAGAAGATCAGCTATTTCAGACACTGTTAAAATTTGCTCCATGTTTATGTGTGGAGTCAATGGAGTTGTTTGGAGGCCAGATTTGAAATGACCTACCAGATTTGAAATGATCTAAACTGGCCAGTATAAGTAGAAATTTTTACAACTCCTTAAGGAAATTTAACCACACAATGATACCACAAAATCATAGAAGTCCATTCAAAAGGGATAACTGCTGAAGACCAGCAACAAGAACAGCACAGCATTTACAAAATGCGCTGGTACAGTCTCTCACAGAATTAGCTAGCAAATCTTTATAAAAGCCTGCTAATGTATACGATGAAAGGAGACACAGAAGAAAGTTCAGACTACAGTGGACATGCTAAGTATAGAGGGAAAAAAAAAAAAAAAAGAGATGTTCCTAGACCACACTAGGTAGCTAAGCAACTAACCTACAGAATGCCAAGCTCAATACCCCTAAATTCTTCCAAGAACTGAAATGAACTCTTACAGCGGCTACAAATCCTGAGTCACTGAGCAAAATCTCTGATAAAAAGAAGAGATAGAAAACAGCCATTAGCAAATCTTGCATAAGGAACCCAAACCTATACCCTATAATGAATCAGGGAAGGAGGAAAATTCATTCAAGGACACAGAGATGAACTATAAACAAATTGTGTCAAAGCCCAGGTGAATAAACTTTCAATTCATATAACCATGCTCCAGAGAAGACAGGAAAAGGACTATAAAAGGCCTTTTGGAAATGCAGATCATTACTTCAGGTGATTACTTAAAACAGTCTGTTTGTTTTGTTGTAGAAAGAGAGAAAAACTGTTATGAGAAATAATTGCATGTTTTCTTTATTTCTTCAGACTCTGAGGTATCTTCTTCAAATGGCAGGTTTTAGCACATTTTTAGCATATTTTTCCCTGCCAGAGCTCCTCTTCCTCAGAGCAAGCATTGACTGCAGTTCACCATTTCTCAGCATGTCCCGGCACACACAGGTTATGTGTGAATCCAGCTGTTTGCCCCATGGAGTGGGAAGAGCAGGACACAAGAGCAAGGCTGACTTATCATTTTCAAGGCTAAAATTTGGCAGTCTCAGCTAGAGCACTGACAGCATCTCCTGTGCTGACTAAATGTGACACTGGCTGGAAATTTTTTCTTAAAAGATGCTGCTCTAGGCAGGTTTAAGCTATTACTTGCCATGCCATTGCACAGCTCTGCAGGAGTGTTTTGCAGGCAAACCAAGCTCATTTAAGGAGATGTGTACATTGCACTACAGAGCCAGAGGAAAATTCTTGCCTCAACTTGAAGCAAGTATAGTATTACATTCCTTGAGATCACCAAATGTTCTGTTACATCCAAAGAGATACTTAAAATGTGGCATTTTACTCAAGACACAGTGAAGGTGAATTTTCAAAAGCAAAGCTCTGTAATTTCTCCTGTATGTGATGACAAATTTGCATTTACTTAACATTTTATGAAGAAGCCAAATTCCAGATGTATGAACACTTTGGCCAAACCACAAAAGCACAAAGGAGGTCAAAGATGCATCATTAACTGCATTAAATATTCCAGGCATAGTCCCCTGAATATAATATTTCATGAACAGTTAGCAATCTATTTTATGAGGATCTGTAAAATACCTTCATTTCTATCCTGCTGCCAGGAGTGAATTTGTTAGCAAACTGTGTCTGCTAACTTTGGTTAATGTAAATAAGGACATAGATATGCTGGAAGCTAGGAAAATAATAGGCTCAGATTTATAGCTCCTGCCAACTGGTGTAGCTCTGATGGCTTTGCTTCCACTGTTGACATTCAGCTCACAGAATGACACCCACATTTAGGCATCTACAGGTGGGCATCAAAGTCCCCATTTCAACCTGTGGAGATGTAATTTCCCTCTCAGCTGACAGATGGCTTGAATAGTGCTTTGAACTCCACTCACCAATGGAGCAGAGTTCCACTCCTGTACCCCTGGATGCCAAATCAAGTTATCTTCACAGCCCCCACCTGAGGGTCTGAGCCACAGTATGAGGAACACAAGAGCAATCCTGGTGGTACAGATCTGTGCCTACTGCCCTCTCATTGTCATTTGTTTGAAAATAAATGGGCATAACTTCTCCCAGTACAGGAAGGTGTTGTCCCTCTCTCTGGATCACAAATTTCCATCTCCCATCCTGTTCTCTTTCTCCAGATGCTCCTGTCAATTACTTGAACAGCCTCTCCTGCCAACTGTCGCAGTCTTCTGGGTTTAGCATTATTTTTAACTCTTGTTTGCAGAGTTTACTGAATGCTGAGTGTCTGGGAAAACGCTTTTTCTAAAAATGACTCAGTGACCAAGGTAAATCAGACCTTTTGCTGGAGCTAGTAAAGTATTAAACAAAAACTCCCATGTGATTTGCAATCTCATGTTCAGTGATTACAATCAACTGCTAGATGTGGCAGTACCAAAGTGCTGCCAGAATGACTTTCTGCCTCTTTGTGGAAACCTGAAGAGCAATATTTTCTTCTTCCACAGAAATGCAGCACTTACTAAAGGTTTATACTGCTCTGAGTTTCATTTTTCTCACTTTGCTTGTTTATCTTCTTGCCCTGAACTGGCCTGATACTGCTTGAAAGCACCTGTTAGATTCACCCCTTCCTTTCACAGGTTATTCCTTTTCTGAGTGGTTTTTGAAGATGGGCCTTTTCCTCTAAAGGAGTGGGGTTTGTGCCACTTTTTTTTCTTTTGATGGCACAATGATAGCTTTGCTCCCAGGTTCCTGATCTGTTCTCACTCCCTGCGTGCTCAGTGGCAGCAGTGAGCAGGATTACTGCTACTTCTTATCACCATCAAAGCTGCTTTTCTAGCTGTGATGCAACAGAGGGGACAGGCAAGCAGAAGTAGTTACCAGTGGGGCACCTGCTCTTTCAATTATAGTCACCTTTCCTTCAGACTTCTGGGTTGGCTAGAGCAAAGAAAGGGAAGAACCTGTGCAATGAAGCTCCGTTTTTTATCTCAGAGCACAGTGTAGTTCAACAACAAAATAAGTGAAGACAGATTTTTGGAAAAAAAAAAAAAAAAAAAAAAGACATAAGATCCATACATTTTTCCATTTCTATTTTTTTTTTCCATTTCTACCCTTATGGCTGTAAAAGAAATAAGGTACAGGTCCTCAGATAACTGTTGAATCCTCTGCTACTGCTGATGCACAAACCAATGTCATCTGAGGAAGCATCCAGATATTTCCTCAGAATGTACAGTTGCTGGAGAAGAAATTCTTCAAAACTTGTCATATGAAATTCTTCAAAACTTGTCATATGAAATATCTGTCAGACTAGTGGCTATATTAAGACAATTTGCATTTTACCTAAGGTATGTGAATCTGCACGAGCTGGACCTGAGACCAAAATATTTTGATTCAAGCATAAAACAATCCCAATATTAGGTGGCAGGGGTTGCTTTTGTAACACATTCATTTAAAGGGAAAAAGTGGGAGGAACTACTAAACTAGTAGTACTACTAAACAAGGAAGTCCCTGAATAAATCTTTTGAGGCATGGGGTTTTAGGCCGACAAAAGTTCAGCTGCAAACATGACATCTCATTTCCACTAAAGTATTCTGCATTTAAGACTTTTGGCTCATCCAAGGTCCACTGAAGCCAGCAAAAACACTCCCATCTTTTTCCATGTGTTTTAGGTCAGGAACTTTCTGAGGAAGATGTGTAACAAACCCAGCACGTTGAAAGCAACAGACACGTTTCCGGCTTTGCAGAAAATCTAGCTAGGGAGGGAAAACAAGCAAGAAAATAGAGAAAATAGAGTATTTTTGTGGTTTTGTATTTCGTTTTGGTTTTTTTTTTTGGTTTTTTTTTTTTTTTGCAATAGTATCTGACTGTGGATTAATTCTTTTTCCCACCTAATAGTACTGGTCCCTTGTTCCCTTATCTTGCCACTGTGTGTAATAGTCATTTGTTGTCTCTTGTCCCACTGTGAGATCCTTTGGAGCAAGGACTGTGTTTCTATTCTGATTTTGTATGGCCCCTGGCCTAAGGGTTATCATCCAAGATGCTACTGCCACACACCAAAAAAAAAAAAAAAAAAAAAAAAAAAAAAAAATCAATGACAATATTTCTTGTAAAGACAGCAAGCAAAAGTGCCAGACTTTGCACAGGTTTTGGCTGGGTTGAACAGTCCCCATCCCACAGTCCTCTTCTGTGCCCTTCTGGGCTGCACAGTGCCAAAGAACTCCATGACTTTGTCCCAGCCCTTGCTAAAATGCTGGTTGGGAAGTGCTGAGCCTTTTTGTCTACTCTTAGTGACAAGGGTAGAGCCAAAGGCATTCAGCATGTTTCAGAAGATATTCAGTTCCTTGCAGGATGTGGCCCTGATGCATTGCATCTGTATCATAATCAAGGAAGATGAAATCTGTTACCAAGCCATGGGTACTAAATCATCCCTGTAGTAAGAAAAATGGGAAATTAGACATACCACACCATGAAGCAGTTCATTTCGGGGAAGGCTTATTCTGACAGCTTGCACTTCTCCAGAATGCCTTGCACAGATTTTGCGGACAGTGAAAACAACTGTCCTCCTGGCATGATCTGGAGCTAATTCATCAAAAAGTAACAAGTTTTCCATTACTGGCTCCCTGTTCTCTTTCTGTAGGCATTCTGCCATTCTAGTGAGGTATCCTGGCATCTGTGCTGGAGCATCCAAGCGATCTCTTCCCAAGAGCTGTCCGTGGGCTCCCACTCCTCTCCCTCCAGTTCAGTGTTGCCTGGACAACAGAGAATTACCCTCTGCGCATCCACACACAGCCAGACCGTGCCACCGAGAGCCTTCCTGCCTGCCACAGCAGGGACCCAGACTGCTCATTAAAAATAGATCACTGGAGAGAGAAGCCAGCAGGCTTCGAGCCTCGTCTGAAATGTATGAAGCGAAGCCTTTGGATGACATCAGGAAGCGCTGACTAAGCGATCCGGTCCCCAGGACTCTCACTAACACAAGCACAGCCTAGAGATGAGACTGACTGCTAGGACTAATTAAGCTGACTCGCCGCAAAACGGCCACGAGATCAAAAATTCCATGTAAGGTCGGTAATTGACGCCCGGCAAGCCTTTGTGAGGGGCAATTAGGGGCTGCCTTGAGAGCGAAACGCTGCCCAAGAGCAGAGAGAAATGCCCTCAGCAGCGTGAGGGGCGGGCGGGAACCGCCGCGGGCCCGGCCCGGCCCGGGGGCCGCAGTACCGCGCGCGGCCAGCAGGCGGCGGGGCGGGCCCCGGCCGGAGGCGGAGGGCGGCGCTGGCCCACGGAACCCCGGAACGCCGGAACCCCGGAGTGACAGTGACAGTGACAGAACCCCGGAGTCACAGAGTGACAGTGACAGAACCCCGGAGACACAGAGTGACAGTGACAGAACCCCGGAGTCACAGAGTGACAGTGACAGTGACAGAACCCCGGAGTCACAGAGGGACAGTGACAGAACCCCGGAGACACAGAGGGACAGTGACAGAACCCGGGAACCCCGGAGTCACAGAGTGACAGTGACAGAACCCAGAACCCCGGAGTCACAGAGTGACAGAATCTGGGAACTCCGGAGTCACAGAGTGACAGTGACAGAACCCCGGAACCCCGGAGTCACAGAGTGACAGAACCTGGGAATCACAGAATCCCAGAATCACAGAGTGACAGTGACAGAATTCTGGGAACCCCAGAATCCGGGAATCACAGAGTGACAGTGTGACAGAGGGACAGAGTGACAGCATCACAGAGTCACAGAGACACAGAGTCACAGAATCCCAGATTCACAAAGTGACAGAATCACAGAGTCCCAGAATCACAGAATCACAGAATCCTAGAATCCCAAAATTCCAGAATCACAGAGTCACAGAATCCCAAAATCATAGAATCACAGAGTCACAGAATCCCAGAATCTCTAGGTTAGAAGAGATCTTCAGGATCATCGAGTCCAACACAGCCCTAACACCTCAACACAGCCCTAACACCTCAACACAGCCCTAACACCTCAACTAGACCCTAACACCTCAACTAGACTCAATTTCCACGAGGAAATCTGGGATGGCAACAGGGAGCGAGAGCGACAGGGACTCCCAGCCCTGCAGGGACCCTGGCTCGCCCCTTAACCCATACCAATGGCCACCAAAAGCACTTTGCAGCCTGGTTTTTACAGCTCCTTTTAAATATCCAAACACGTAATGAAGGCAGATGTTTCCATTCTAGTTTGGTTGTCTTTATATTTAAAGGATAGAAATCAATGAGTCAAGTCCATTTTTGATTCTCGCTCATCTCACTTTCAGGCCCTCAACACCACATCCCAGCAGCAGGGCACTGATTTGAAAGCAAGTATTTCCCTGCTTTACTGTTAGCTGTAGAATCACAGTGGTTATGAAATACTTTTCAATGTGAGCAACACTGACCTTTTAGAGGCAAGCAGCAGTGCTGAAACACTGAAAATGGTTTCCCTTATCAAAGGTGGCAACAAGGAGAGGGAAGTGACAAGCAAGGCTTGCAGGCTGACTGCACTGAGTACAAAATGTGTCAAAGGAGAAGGCAGTTCAAAATGGATATTGATGCATAAACTACAAGGTGTCCTTGAACCTCAGAGCTATAAGAGGCAGTGGAAAGGGCAAAACCCCACTCAGAAAATGTTTGCATTTAGTTGTCTTTGTATTAGTGGTGTACTTGTGCTGGGAGCTTCAGAGACCCCATGGTACTTTCTCAAGGATGAGAAAAGAATGAGAACCCTCATGTCTAGGGAAGAGGGATGCTCAGAGGAGAAAGTGCTGCTCTTGTTGTTGATCCATGTACAGAATATTTCTTTCATAACTACAGGTAAAGCACTCGGAGCTCCAGCCACAGGAAAAAAAAACAAAACCAGACCTCGCAGTGACTTTGGGGATTTAAACTCTGAGGTCTTTGTGCTTTGATTTTCTAACTGCAAAAAGAGACAAACAATGCAATTTGCCTGCTGGAAGCAGAAAAATGTTGACAGATAACACAGGGGCAGGGGACATACCTACAAAGGAAGTCCACAAAATAGGTTTATCACCAGGGGGTTGATTTATCTGTCATCAGTCAGATAAGTAAAAGTGTTCTCAGTCTGACAAAATCCATCTTGTTCAGCAGGTGAGTGCTAACAGACAGACAGCTCTTTAGTTTTCCTGGATGGCATCAAAATATCATGTTTTCCTTACTGAAAAGACTGAATTTCACTCCAGAAGCTGCTTGTCACCTGTGACCAGCTGTGTCCACCACAGCACTCTCAGCAGTGAAAATTACAAATACCTTGACACAAAGACAGAAATCCACTCAGACCCAAGTATCTTTTTCTTCCTGTAATCAGAGCAGCTCTTTTTCTCAGGACAGTGGCAGCTGGATCAGGTCTTACCACCAAGTTTCTATTCTACAAAATAGCCAGAGAATATTTTGGATGGAGTTGTCAGCAATAACCCTGGGAACCATCTCTCATATTTACAAGTCAGAATCAAACTTCCTATGTAACAACCCTGTGAGGTCAAAGGATGCCAACCTTTGCCATATAAGGGGGACAGCAAGTTTTATCCAGTATGAAACACTGGAAATACCTTTTTCTTCCACACCACATTGCTGCAGCTTGCTCATTCTTATGTCTTAGCAAGCTGTAATGTAAAAATCAAACCAAACCTGCTTAAATTTTGTACTGAAAAGCATCTGAGTACCTTTGTGAGGGGAAAGGCCCTAAGCATCAACTCAGAAGTTCAACATCATTAACTGTCACAGTTTACCCCCATATGCACAGAGCAGGAGAGAAAGGAAAACCACCTCTGCTACATCCTACCCTTGAGAATGGAAAGTCTCAGTGGATGCAGGGATATAAAGAGGGGTTTGAGTACAAGCAACTGGCAGCACACACAAGTCAAGTTGTTCAAGGAAATAAAAAAAGAAGGATGTGCTAAAAGCCAACCATTGTCTCCTCCTGGAGAGTCGCCCACTCTGCAGGCACTTACTGCTTCTGTTAGCTTTTAGGCTGAATTTAATATTTACACAGCTCTGGAGATGACCCTATCTGGATTTGTGTGACAAACAGCATGAATATAAAATCCTCCTTCTCCAGAGGCACCTGGTTGGAGCTCTATTTTTCTTGCCAAAACATTTTCTGCCTAAACTGAAGGAACTTGGCCCATCAGTGCAGCCCGACATTCTTTGGAGCATCATCTGAGATTCTGAGACCCACATTAGCTGAGTATCTGGCAAGCTTCCAGTCCCCCTAAATACTGTCTAAGCACTCAGCTCCCTGAGGGAAGAGATTTAAGGAGAAATTGGCATGCAGGAAAACTACTTGTATTTGTTCTGCCACTGTCAGAGAAATGGCTGTGGGCTTCTTTTGGAAAGATGCAGGTTTCCACTAACATTTTGACATTTGTGCTGTTTTGTTTGTAGCTGACAAGGTCCAAAATGATGAAAAATCAATTCACCTGGTCCTCAGCTGGATGCTGAAGAGTGTTCATGTCTCTGTACACTGCTATTTTACCCTTGCTTGGTGGAATTCTGCCCTTGGGAACTGAAATCCCTGTCCAATCCATCTCTCCTTTTCTGCAGTATATTCTGTAGTGCACAGCTCATCCCCAGTGGCATGAAAACGAGATCTTCTGGCATCCTCCCTTTTGGTATAATAGGCTGTGAATTTGCAGAAGATTGCTTAGTTGAACTTACAACACTGGTAAAACTGCCTGGTTCTGCAGCAGGTATCCAGGTGGGGTGATGGAGACTGTGGTGAAAATCCCATGGAGAGGAAAGATGGCCAGAAGAGCAAGTACCTCCAGGGTAAGCAGCCTCCAGACCCAGGAGGGGTCAGAGATTGGTTGGTTCCATTTTCCTGCCATCCCTTTTGATCCATGCCCACCTCAACTTCTGCCAAGGTGGATAAAGCACTGCTGGAGATGCTGTGGTTCAGTGTCCTGTCCTGCACATGGCATGTCCAGGTGAAAGGCAGAAACTGCAGGTTCTCTTATGTTGGATTTGCAGTTATAGAATTTTCCTACATTTATTGGAGCAGCTGGAGCTCAGCAACACCACAGTACAAACCCAGTGCAAACAGCCTGACCCAGACTTGTCCCTGCATCAGCCAATTCCCCTCTCACAGATGGTTCTTCCAGTTTTGGCAGTGCTGTTGTAGGACATAAATCCATAGGACTCACTCTAACTGCCCCAGTCTCTCTGTGGAGGAGGATTTTAGCCCAGTGGTTACAGGCAGAACACCCAGCCCCACACAAGTGCAGGTGCACTTTAGACAATTCACCAGTGGAGAAAAAAATAAGGATTTAGATGCTGGAATCATTGGGAATTCTTGACACTCTTTGAGCAGGCAAACAGAAGTAAAACAAATACAGATTAAATATGTGTGAGACTGTCTTGAAAACAGCTCCTGTGACTCAACATGACACCCTATCAGGCCATGTTTGCTCTGAGGTTACCAGCACAAAGCCAAAAACTGACATGCTACTGCGGCTGGATGAAAAAACACAGAATAGATCAAAAATACCCAGATTTTCTCATTTCAGGCCATGTTTGCTCTGAGGTTACCAGCACAAAGCCAAAAACTGACACGCTACTTACTGTGGCTGGATGATAAAACACAGAATAGCTCAAAAATACCCAGATTTTCTCATTTCCACCCAAGTTTTCTAACATCTGTAGAGGGATTCCTGCTGAGGCAGATGTGAGTATCGCCTGCTGCACAGATGTAACGCAGAGAAGAACTGGATTTTTCAAGGCTGTGCAGAAGTGCTGTCCAAGTGCCATGGTTAACAGTCCTTACAGGCTTGTACCTCACTATAAAATGTCGCACCCTTGTCAAGTATCCTATCTTAGCATAGGCTTTTCCCATAGGATCTTGCTCTATGCATTTAGGATTGATTCTCTAACCCCTAAAGAACAAATATTGACCCTACT